GCTCCTCCTTAGGTTGCACGAAACGTAAATAAGACCACGCCTTGAAGTGCATAGTATAATTGCTCCCCTGCTACTAAGATGAGAAGCCGATCTCTTTGAAAGAGTCCAAGGATGGGCAACAAAACAGATGATGCGTCACCCAAACAAACCACATGGGGGACTACTGAAGAAATCAGGTCTTTTCGTACTTCGCTACCGTTGGCTTAGGGGTGACTTCTTCACAGCCTGCAAGATTACAAGTGACTGGAATCACTTAAACGAAGGTGTTTGGCCATTAAGTACATATAGTCTTCCTCGTGGCAGTCGACGAAGGATAGCTCACCAAGAAGCAAAGACTCGAGGTCGCTGTCATTACTTTCTACTTCGAGTTTGCCGCTCTCGCAACTCTTTCGCTGCAGGTTTGGCTACTGCAACGTCCGTTGAAGGCTTTAGGCGGAGGCTGAACAATTATGCAGTGACGAAAGGACTGCGTTCAAACAGACTACACTCTAATACTTACACATTATTGATGTCCACGCAAATAAACTCGCTTTTTGACTTCCTTCCACCCTTGGTTTACTATTCTGACTACTCCAACCACAAATTTCCTTATGTTTTTATTGTTACTATTGATATATATATCAATTCCCAATTTCACTGGGTGTCTGTTTTTACGTTTTCTTTCCTTTTTTCTTCTTAGGTTTGCACACTATACACCAATGATATATCACTGTTATCTCCCTCCTTCGCCATATCAGATGACTGACGGGTATAAGGATCAACTCCATTCACAGTAGCGACACAGTGTTAACATACCGCATACTACAAACCTTGTGTATTCACTCACAGGAGTGAGGCTATGTTCTAAAACGATGTGTTGTCGCGCATTGCATGGGTTATCGCGTTCACGCCTATAGAGACGTTCTAACCGCTGAGTATTGTGAAAATAGATTCTATTTGACTAGTTTTAGGCTTCTGTAGCCGAAAAATGCAATATTTTTCTGTATTGTTTTCGTAGTAATGCGTAAAATTGTCATGACAGCCTAGACGAATTACTAATAAAAAAGTCATCATTTTGAAGAAATATCGCATAAAAAGTCTATTATTAGGGTTTTAGAGCATTGAGGCATTGTTTTTTGTGAGTTGTTTCAGATCTTAAGGTTGTAAATTGACTGCAGGCAATGGCTGTTGTCATCCCAGTTATTCTATGAGAATCGTGCATTTGAAAGAGGAATAGGCTACAGACATAAGTTAGATGTGTGTTTTGAGGATGTTAGGCACTTCTTTTATCATCTGTGATGACTGAAATATTCCATAGCACATTGAAGAGATCATACGATGAATGAGACAGGCTGCTGCATTTCCGGGTGATTATATCTACTTTGATGAAGTTCCCATTTAAAATTGCTTAGGCGAAGATATGATACTAGTTTAATTGACATTTGCACTTGGGATGTCAGAAGGCTTTAATTGTTCATTGTCAAAAATGGCATCAGATTATGTTTATATCAGTGTGCATCGGGTCACGAAGAATAGTGTAGGTGGTCCTCATGAAATGTCAGACTACTTAAAATTAGTATCAACTTCCTGTCGATTAGTAGCTAGCAGGTGTGTCCTACAACTACTGCACCTGTTACATAAGTTATCCCAGTCTTAACAATTGTTCGTGTTCAGATCACTAAGATATTCTGAGATCCTTAATGAATTACTTGTGGCTATGAAGGATATGGAAAATGCACTTATGGCTCATATGTTTAAATCATTTATTATGAAAGAAGTTATCTATAGGGATTTTGTGATGTTCAGGTTACAATGCTTGAGTGTATGTAGTGACTGCATGCTTCTGTGCGTGAAGGAAAAGTTGGTTAAAATGAAGATGTGATGAAGTTTTCTGTACAGTGTTCATTGTGAATGGTTTACTAGTTAACACTTATTATTTGCTTGCTGCTATACTGTATAAGACGAACAATCTCTGTGTGACATTGAAAACTACAGACGAATGCTGTCATCACCAAAGAATGAAAAAGGAAAATGAAACTTTTTCGGCAAAGGTATGGAAATATAAAGCCTTCCACTTTAACATTACTTCTTCCTTACTTCAGCGATTTAAAAACATACGCTTTGTTCACTTATTTACAGATATCCGGTAATGTCAGTCAACTTGGTCACAGCGATTCAACATGGGCGAAATAATAACGAAAAACAATTGTGTAAAGACATTTGCTTATTTTTTTCACTAAATAGATTTAACATCCTGCTTACAATACTTTTCTTATTCTATCTGAGTGAAACTAAGTTTTTTTGCATGAAAAGATGCAGATGTCAGACTTATCAATGAGACTTGATGATTTATTTGACTGTATAATTAAACGTAAGCGAAATGTTACTACGACTGCTACAGCTCAACCTACTTATTTATTCGTTATGTGTAAACTTAATTTAACAGTATGCGTTAACGCCCGTTATCATAGGGACTGTCATAACGCTTTAATTTATTATTATTATTTTTTCCTTCACGTTCCCCAGTGGAACATAGGGTTTCAAGCTAGTGGCTTCAAGTTTCTGTAGCAGTGTTTATTTTACAGGATGGGGTTGCTAGCC